TCTCTCTCTCTCTGCTGCCCCCCTCACTTGGCTCGTTCCCAACATAGGTGTCTATTTTAGTCTGTCTGCTCTGCATGTCTAGGTCTATCTGCAGACGGTGTCTATACGCGGACAAACGTGAATGAAAGTATGAGCTATGCTTATAAATATATGTGTGAGAAGTTTCAGACAGTGAGCGTCATATAGCGTTTTAGCATCGTAGATACGACGTTGCATTTTGTTGTCCCATATGTAATGTAAAAGCAGCAATAAGACAAATATTAAGGTTATTAGTATCTCTAGCCAATAGACGGACAGACACATACGCAGAGAGACACCCACGAGTGGACAGTTGTATTCTGGACGGAGAAGGCAACGAGATTGAGCTGGTTGCAGTAACAGCTATCACCCGCTGTTAGATATATAATGCTATGGATAGTATAGGTTTCTCATTATGATCTAATAATTACCGCTACAGTCTTTGCGTCCCATTGATGACGACGTCATATTTATTTCGCCCGGCTACGATGAATATACCAAATAATACAATATAGTAATATTGTTGAGACCGTCACTTGAATTGAAATGGCTCAGTATTTAGCGAGTTCATTATTGATCTGATTTGGCTTCGTTACGCGGAGTGATACCTATTTCGTTCGTTGTTTCACTATGACCTAGGCTTTCACCGTGGCAAGCTTTACAACTTACGATAGCGTGATTATTTCGAAAATTTAGGTACAGACAAACGAGCATCAAGAGACCAGCGTCAAAAGCGCATGTTTACGCATTCTCAGTTTTGTATGTTTCTTTCGTTACGATATAAAGAAGGCTAATTCTATCCCTTTGACAACAGCAAACCGTTCAGTCGTATGCGGTAAGCTTCGATTCCGGATAACCAAGAACATGTACCATCATCAAGGGTCAATCTGGTGCGAACGTACTATATAATAGTTAATCTTCGCTAATATTTCGAAAACTGGCATTTTGCCTCTGCCAAAAGGAAGTTTTGTTGCATAGGAGGAACTGGCATTGTTTTGGCATCAGGAGCGCATGTCTGCTACAATAAACAGGCTCCATAACGTGCGCCAATTTGACTCAAGAGCCCTGTATCTGTGAAGGATTCACGTACATGGCGCACATAGTGGTTTTCGACAATGTTTAACTATAGTTTTCGCGACCGTCGGATAATGGACGGATCGTCGATTGTAATCGGTCCGAGAGTTACCGAATGCCTGTTCTGCCCTTCTGCTCTTTTTCTTCCCAGAAATGATGAAACTGTCGTATTAGCAGTAGCAGTAGCCACTGTTGAAGGCTAACGAAGCCAATGGGTGATGTCGTGTTATGCCACTGACATCGATCATCGCGGCAGTTATTGGTGGCAAAGCTCCTCCCGCTACATCGTTCAACGCCCCCACGACGCATTACAGCAAACCACTTTTCTCCACTTGTCTGCCGCTCGCGCTGTTTTAGCAGTAGCTCTAGGATGAGAATGATGACCGCGTAGAAATGAGCGCAATCAGCATACTGGCTTTCCTACGTTGTGATTGGCAATGTGAACAAGGCAGCGCATAGATGTGCTATGTGACAGGGGGCAATATGTTGATTGCTGAAGTATAATCAGTCTGGCCATTTGTGTGCGCAAATGTCTTAAGGGGTTGACAGTAACAATGCATTCAACAGTGGTCGACAGAATGTGTCTTGTCATATCATCGAGTCATATAAAAGCAAAAGCATCCTCTGACCTGTTCTGTGATCTCTGAGCATGTGCAAATGACTGGGAACGTTCCGTTTGGCTGTACACAAATTTGCCCTTCTCACTCAAGAAAGTGCCGATGACAAGTGCAGTGCTTTATAAAATGTTTGATCAATATGTATTTGATTAATCTTCAGTACTATCACAGAACTCGTCAGTTTAAGAGATTACGCGAAACCCATCGTTGTCATACATACAGATCCCTTTTCCCAGCCCGCAATTCTCACGAGTTCTCCATTCAGCCATAAAAAATTAGTCATAGAATTTTTGGCTTATCTGTGCATAAACGCGCTATTTGTTCGGTTTCGAATGTGGTGGCATTCGTCGTAAGTCGTCGACAAAATTATTTATACATTTTTGTGCGCAGATAAATCTTTTTAGCTATTCGGCTGCAATAATAATAAAGTATTTCGAGTTTACTATATTGCAGCTTGCTAGTTGTAGAGGAAGCAGCGCGGCTGCATGCTTGTTAATTTTTCCTGTTCATCATTCGCGCTCCCTGACGCACAGCAACGGTCATTTTAGCGGTCTCCAGCTCTCGCGCTAGTACAGGACTCGTTTACGACAAGCCATGGTAAAGCAAGCTGCGACCAATGTAGTTCATGACTAGCTAGCTACCCCGCTTGTTTCCGCCATTACTACGACGACTACCGCTGCTGGAGTCAGCTGTATTTCTCAGTGGGCTAGGACGTTGACGGTGAATGATAGAAGTGTCTGTCGGCTGTTTTCCTCTTTTGGCCAGTTTCGCCACGGACGCTGATCTAGATTATAGCACGGGTCCGATTGTCGAACAAGAGCGGACGCAGTGACGCTGGCGGTGGAAAGAAGGACGGACTTCGATAGTCCAAACTAGAAAAGTCTAACGGCTAGTTAACCCTTAATGATGGCAGGTTCAGTGTTTTTGCTAATGCAGAAACTAACCCATACAGTCAGATGTATTAATCATAATTCCGAGCAGTGGTCGCTCCTAGTATTGCTGCCGCTAGTTACCTGTTCCCGTAAAGAGAGAGAGAGAGAGGGAGAGAGAAAGGGCCTTAATCGAAAAATAGGGCAAAGCTCGATATTATCGAAATGATTTTGTGAAGCATTGTCAAGACCGTCGACCAATGCTTAGGATGAGATTCACTTCCACTTTTGACTCTGAAAACCATCTGTGAGGTTCTGGTCTACAACCAGCATTAATGCAGATGGCATTTCTCTGTGAAGAACCCAGATTGAGCGAGGTGTATTGCACCTGAAAATTGCCAGTATCCACCCTGGATGCATCTCATAGCGATCAGTTCAAGCAAAACATGGCCGGCGACAGGCTCAACCACAGCTTTCTGCCACATGTACGCTGAGTGTATGCATGCATCGTACTCGTCTGATATGTATGTATACATATAATAGCATAATACGTAACAAAAGTGAATTTGGACACCCGTTTAGCCAAGCACTCTTTCAAGTAATAACATGCGTCAAAGATATACACAAGGAAGTATTATTTGCCTGCGGACAACCCGTCGTTGTGGTGTGTCGTATTACTCAGACCGATAACACGGTAGGTCTGCCTATCGACTGGATATCGACCAACAAGAACGTACAGCTTAGGTCTATTTGTTTTCTCTAGACGCGAGTGATCCACGCCTATCACCCATACACATATATACAATCGATTAGCATCTACGATTGTAGGACAGCTATTGCGGTGAACCATTGCCATGGGCGAAGTGAGTGGCGTGTACGTTTGCCTATTCAACTTCGTATGTCCTGTCGTGTTTCAGCGGGTACTTAGACAGTTCTATTAGAACTGAAAAACTAGAAAACAAACAAAATTTTATTTTCAGCTCCAGCCCTGCATTGCCCCTCGCACACACTTTCTCCCGCATTTTTATCCTCTGCTGTACGATCGCCTCCGCTGGCGACTGCTGCCAGGGACGCATGGGCGGCGTTCTTGTGCGTAGTGTCTGTGCATAGTTCATGTGCGCGTCGAAGTCGGTCTCTGTTAGCAGCAATAGCAGGATGTATCTAGAGACTGTCCTGTATCGCGGATTTCATGATTATACCGGGTTAAATGTCATTGCGGTTGCTGAACAATAAATGTTTTATATATATATACTTAGCACGTATGTGTGTACATATATACATCACGTGGTGTTTCCCAGTAGCATGTATTAGAGTAGGCACTACATTGCCATGCATTTTACATTCTACTACATTTTAGCACTTACATAAAGGCGGGTACATAGCAGGTAGTATTATTTACTAAACAAACTAGTTTTATGAAAAAGCTGACCTTTTCGTTGAAATTATTTAATGATGGTCAGTATCTACTTAGACTGCGGGATATTATCGGAATGGCATGTCTAGTTCTGAAAGACAGTCGTATGGTTCTAAGAGAAAAAAAAACAATGAATCAATAAATAATATTTAAATCGAAACTGTCGTAAATATGCCCATTGTAGATGAGCGCTGTGAGAAATGTTTCGCTGAATTGTCATTAATGATTCCTAGCACATTTTTTCATGGTTACCATTACTGTGATTGGGCCTGCATTTAATTGGATCAACCCAATGCAAAATGACGGCTCACCAGTCCAAGTAAAATTGTTCATACATATTCATACAAGCGTATCTATGCATACGCACTATGTCAATAGCAAACCTCCGACTTATTTTCTACTATTAAACGTCGTACAGCTTGATCGAAGCAAATATGAACGCATTCGCGAACGTACGTCATTTTGTACATTTACACATATAATAAATCGCTACGGTTCGAGTGTCTAAACCATATAGTATGCCAGATGGCAGGCGAGTACACGCTGGCGCCGGACGCGCGCCGTATCTGGACGATCTTGAATTCTAAGATTCGCTCCGATTATTTGACATTTATCCTGTCCGATGAACCTTTTTTTTTTATCTCTTCTGTATCTTCCTCATCGAATTGTCTACGGGCGGACCTAGTGGAGGTCCGTTTGCCATTTATATTTACTTGTCGTGCACATATAACTCCGCCCGTCTTTCTGTATCTGCTATGTTGGCCTTAGGAGATGAACTCCGTTCATGTGCAATCTACGTAATCTTAGCAATGGCCCTCAGTGCCATCATTGTGGTAATTTATTGGTGCTAATAACGACTTAGTCTTTAGGTAGACTTTTTCTCGAGTGGAAAATCATCGTTCTGTGTGTCCTACGTGTTTTGACCTACTGATCCGATACCTTATCGTATCTCTAACTATGGCGTCCCTTCCACCTGTCGTTTTCAACTTCGCATGAACGAATTTTTAGGAGGCTTTCAGCAGTTCTGGCAGCATTACCCACATCTATGTGTATCGGGCCCAGTGACGTGTGGATCGGGACAAGGAGTCCATCCGTTGGGGCTGAATCATGCGCCGCGATCTCCACCAGCCGGACTCGCAGGACATGCGGGACACAATCATCTATGGCCACCCACCCTTTCGCCACTGGGAGCTCTATCGCGCAGTTCATCTTCGCCGGCCCTTGCGCAAGCGGCCAACGGTCTAGGCCCGATTAATAGTCACAGCAACAATCACAACGGCCACGTGCCCCACGCAAGCACCTTGCCGTGGTATCAGCAGGAGCAACAAGACCCGGTCGAAATTCTGCCCCATTTATTTCTCGGGAGCGAGTACCATGCTAGTAATAAGGCTACGCTACAAAGGTTAGTATATCTCTGGCCCTATATGAAAATAGCAGACAGGTTTATTTGTTTTGTTTTATTTCGCTGTTCTGTAAGTTGACTAGTCATGATTTTCCTTATTCACACAGGTTGTAGAGCATTTGCCACTGACCGAGTTTGAAGCACCAACTCCTGTTTTTTTTTTATTTTTTTTTTATCAAGAAGCTTGGCTGTTCAAGTTAGCTAGTTATACTTTAGCTTTCATATATTGTTTATCGTTTCATTCATCCAACATTATTATTTTTGCCAAACTTCAATTAGCTCAGATCTAACTTACGGAACAAGAACAAAATTTATATAAGTACATGAACATGTATGCACATTGTATACGTCTACTTATAAAAAAAACTCTCTTGGCGCGTTAGTACTGCATATCCTATAATGATTACCCTGTAGTTATTTGATAAAGGCCCATTAGAACTGAATTAGAGAAATTAAAATGCGTTAGTCGAAAACACATATAGGTGCCAAGTACACATAGATTTATGTTGCACAAATACGTTTTTGCTGATTTTGGTAACGTAAAAGCTGGTTCTATAACAAGTGTTGGTCATTCATGATAATGCATGATGATTGCTCTCTGTGACAGGTTAAAGATTACAGCCTTACTGAACGTGTCGCACAATTGCCCTAACCATTTCGAGGACGTTTTCCGGTATATGGCCATACCCGTTGAAGATTCAACCAGTGAAGATATCGGCGTGTGGTTTCGGCGGGCAATTGAATTTATCAGTGAGTATCGACATATATGTATATATACACACACGTTGCCAGGCGAGTATTCATTTATGAGATTAGCTTGGTAAGTTAAGGAGTTCTAAGTATTTCTTTATGGAATAGAAGCTTGTTGATGGTAGCCTTCCAAACTTAGCTCAAGTCGTGTCTTTGGCGAATATTGCATAATAGGATGCAATTATTTGTCTGTTGAAAAATTACATATCCTATAATACTTAAGCTCAAGGTCACGTTGGATGTCAATTTATTCAGTAGTTTGGCAAATTGTCCTAGCCTACCTAGCTGACTGTCGCCACACGGAACTTGAAGAGTCCGGTAGTAATGCTTGCATGACATATGCAGCAGGCCTCAATAGTTTGGCTGATATGATAAACTTCGACAAACAACAACATTATGCACAGAAGCCCTGCTTATTTCACTTGTTAACATCAACCTCTCGCCGGCCAGGCCTTATTCTTCTGCTATGATATACAATACAGTATTACCTTTATCCATTTACAACAGCGTATGTTTTCCGTTTAAGGCGTGATGACCAATTGTTGTTGCCGCCGCTATTTTCATTGTTGCCGTTGTTGTTTATGTCGTTATTGTGCTCATATTGCTATTATGGTGCATTAATGGCGTATGCATATAGATGTGCTAGAAGATTACAGGTGATATTTTCGCTGGCTATTTTGTAGCTTTGGATAGAGTTTTACATTGAATACGTATGACTATTTGAAAATGCTCCGGCGAAGTAATATTTCAGTTCTCCCTTACTTCGAGCACGACATAATGTAAGTTCTAATCAATAATTGCTCACGTCGTAGAATTATTGCTACTGGATCGTTCATTCGATCTTCACTTGTTGCGCTTCTCCATCGGAGGCAATATCTTCTTACTCAGTCCCACATGACGCTATGTAATAATTGTCTGATCGTACCAATCGCTCAAGTGGCGCTTATAGTAGTGGTCCGATGAACCCTGGCTAAACCCACCCATAAAAGAATACGTTATATGGGCTGTGCAAGAACTATAGTCGATCTGTTATCGGGTAGAGTCGGAGGAGCCTCCGACATCAACAAGCAGTGCTATGCGATCATTGGTCGATTCGTTTGATCTCTTCCGTTAATTTTCGGGGGTTGTTGATCCTTCGTTGTGCACAGCCGTAACTTCCACTCACTCCCACTAAAGATTCGCACAGACAGTCGCGCACCCATCGCGTTCATATTTAACAAAGGGTACGTGTGACGCTTAAGAGCAAAACTGCCGCAGCAGCACCGAAGCGACGGAGCGAGCCAACGACTGAAGGGGTTCAACGAGACAAGAATTGATGGTGCGTACAGCTATGGTGGGCAGCAGCAGCGGTCGTAGTTGTATATGTCGACCTATTGTTCCAACCGGGGGGACAACGGCATGACAATAGCGGCGCGTGGAATGGTGGGGGCAACAGTACAGTCAGTTAGCCGTCGATCTAACAAGCCAAACCTATCAGAGCGATTAAAATAAGGCGTACCTAGAGAAGGGACAGACAGTTTTATCGCAACTGCCGTTACGCTTGATGTTTATAATGGGAATAGGCCACAGTTGCCATAGAGCTAAAATGAAAGCTTCGAGTTCTCATAAAGTCATCTCGATATGCGCATTTACGCGCGCGGAGTCGTCTATAGCTCAAACGTTCGCAAGCCTCCTGCAATGAAACTCATTGCACGCTACTCGATCGCACGATATAGAAATTTGCAGATCTGCCAGCTAGCGTGAATGCCACAAACCAATAAAGAATGAAAAATGAACTCGGAAGCTTAGCCGTTAGATCACCACTATAATGGGTTTTTAATGGTAATACAAGTCTTCTACTTTCACGAAGGATAAATACATAACCTTGTCATTTTTGAAAAATGGTGAAATTGACAGTACGTGAGAGCAGTGACCGAATACATTATAATAAACACAGGGCAAATATATTGACTAGGAGTTGCCATTATTATAATCTTCAATTACTTTTATTTCAAATACGTGACAACCATGGTCTATCTGAAGTTTACTGAAAAACTTATTCATTAATTTGACGATAGAGTTAGCGTATTATATCTAGGTAGTAATTCAAGGTATTTATATTCTCGTTGACGTAGATATTATAGATAATTATTACTTCATGGACAGTGTATAATAAGTACTTGAGCCTTTTAGTATCGTATTAGCATTACGTCCAATTCCTTCTACATGTCGTGGCCGGCATAATCGTTATGGGTCGAGGTTTCTAACGCTGAAATGTTCTAACTAACTTGATTTCGTTCTTTTTTTCTTCGAACGTTTTTCGGTCGATCTTGTATAAATCTTATCCAGATGACGTCAAGGCTTCTGGAGGCAAAGTGTTAGTTCACTGCCATGCCGGGATATCGCGGTCAGCTACTATATGTATGGCCTATCTCATGGCCACGTTACGACTTCGTATGGAAGATGCTTACGAACATGTGAAAAGTCGGCGCAAGATCATCTCGCCAAACTTCTCTTTTATGGGTCAACTGCTATCGTTCGAGAGTCAAGTCTTCTCGCCTCGAGGAGGGACGGTTACATCGCACATGGGGTCGCAATCAATCGTCTCACAGAGGTCTCCCCGCTCACCATTGACGAGTCTACCTACCATGTGCAACAATAATAATTCAACGGGTTCTAGCCCATCGCCCCGACCATTGGCCTCACCTAAGACTCCATCGGAGCGCGGAGGAACGTCAGGGACTGGTCACGTGACCACGGCATTCGATTTCTCCATTTCACCATCAACGTTGGCCTCACTCGTTAACGGCACCTCTAATGGGGGCAACACTAGCCCAAGTTCAACCCCATCACCGACGACGCCCCTCTGTCCATCCAGTCCATACTCACCCTGAGATCGGATCCGGCGGCCATCGCATCTCGAATTGGCTGTGTCAGGCGAACGTCGCCGAACACGATCTCCGCGAGCAGTTGGAAGATCATCGAGACAGAGGCCGCTACCAAGACCTGCAAACATGACAATGAGGACGACGAACCGAACGTTTTCTCGTAGCCGGCGATAACAACACGAGGCATGACATATGTGGCGCGTATGGTAAGGCACACTCAGAAAGAGAAACAGTGACGTGATATACATCGCCCCTTTCGAAGATTCGCCGGCATGCGTACAGCAGCGCCTTGCAAAAAAAAAAACTGAGACGACTGGCTGGGAGTGGTGCCGGTAGAAAAATTAGTTCTGCGACGTTATTTGAATATCCTCATCGCCTGTCGCGTTCTCATTAATGACGGTGAACAGATTGTTTGTGAAACTCGAACCGGAGAACGTCCATTGGGAAAACCGGCACAACTGTTCAGAGTGATACGCAACAGAACTATGTAACTGACGTAAAGGGCATTCTTCTCGCTGGCAACCTATATATAGATATGTGTTAGGTTGAATAAAAGAAACAAGTTTCACAGTAATTTATATAAAAATGAATATTGATCATTTTGGTAGGCGTGGTAGATTGTCAGTGAGCCTACTTACTTGGCCCGCGAAACGCGCCGATATTTTTTAGGATGCCAATTAAGTTTTCATGTTTTTGAAAGGAATAAGATTACATTTATGAGATCTTTTTGATCTATGTCGAATTATACAGAAACAAACTCACTTCCCTTATCAGCTAATGAAACTAATAGTCGATATTGTCGTTGAAAATTTCTATGAAACGTGAGTAAATGCAGATGAACGCACAGAACAACCTGTCGGCGATGTTCAAATCGGGCACCGATCGACGCAATGCCACTAGAAACAAACTTCGAGTGTAGCGGTACTTGAATGTGTAACCAATCAAACTTTGCGGTCAACTTGTTCGAATTGCACTACAAGCATAACTAGACAAGCAGACGATATCAGCTGTAACTACAATACCAGAAAAAGCAATAGAACTAGAATAAGCAAGAAATTACTCAACCTATGATAACAACAACAGCAACAATGGTTACCGAGGTACACATAGCCCGTATCCACTTCTACAGGAGTGGTCTAAGCAGGCCTAAACAAAATGATAGAAACCGGTGATTGGTTTAATGGCAGATAGAGCAGATTGGCGCGAGACTATTAAACCAATTGATAATACGATACGAAATAATAAAAGCAAAACTCTATATACAGTTAATTATATACATTACACACACACACACACATACATAAGTTTGCAATCTTTAGCAGCAGTCCCTTGTAACAATAAATTGAATATGAACTACTATTATTATTATCGACACATGAGATGGCAGTGAATGAAGAATAAGCGGCATCCTGCTCGATAGTCGCCGCTGCCACTGATAAATGTACAAAGTCAGGGCCATCGAACCCGGGTCTCATTACGCAATGTGCTACCAATGTTTCTTCAATGGGTCTGCTCATCAATAGCATATTAGACGATACCAACGATACTAATAACATGAACAACAAATTGAAGTATACAACCATGAAGCATCCATTGGCAGACGCGGTGCGAACATTGTTTCGGCTAACACAGCAGTAGCATATTGTGCTAAGCTCAAGTATAACAATAAGGATTATTGCTACTGTCATCACCGTCCTAATTGACATTACTACTATAGTTGCCGTTTAGGACCTCCTAATAATTCACGGCGTTGGTTCAAATTTGATTTTTAATTCCCACACTAATCCGTACCCCCCCTAAGTTGCTAAGAGCGGCTTCATGAGTTTTCTGCATACGAGTATCAGATTTTTAGCGAATAATTGTTTGTCTGTGGCATTCATTCATGAATTGATCTGATATTAAACCAAATACAAACACCAGCACTGAACCACATATACACCGCTATAACGGATTCAACTGACGTTACACAAAACGAAGAGTCATGTATTCAATGGACACGAAGTTGCAAATAGCAGACAGGGTAGAATAGCAACGGTTGGAGGTAGCCACCGACAACAAAATCTTTTGATCTCGATCATCACAAACAAATGGAACACGAGAAACTAATGACTCCAACGGCATGACAATAATTTAGAGCAACTTAACCTATTATTATGGTAACTGGTATAAAGAGAAATAAATAAAGTTATACAAAACCGAAAGCATAAAGTTTATCAAGAGGAAGAGCGTGAAGAGCAGATAATAAGATACCGGAAATTTAAACCGATTTCGAGGAAAAATAATGCTAGTATATATCGATTATATACACACTTACGTAGCTGCATTATGTTATCACATTTTTTTACTGTGTCAAGGTGGAAATTAGAGTTGTTCTTACCCCACTGGTCGAGAGTGAGACAGAGCTGTAAAGAGGAACAAAGATACCGACAGCAAATGGAAATATACTGAAGACGTTATAATAATAATAACGAGAATCTTACCACTGATATTAATAATTACTGTACATCATCTTGCCATTATTATTACTATTAAAAAAAAAAAGTTATACTTGTCACGATTTGTACGAAACAAACCACAAGCGTCTTGGAGAAACGGATTAGCTGCGAATGCAGACGTCAATGTCGATGAGGGAAAAATGAATCGTATGAGTATTGATGTCTATTGAAAAGGAACTTGTGCAGATCTTCTTGTTGTGGAGTGGTGTGGGTGACAGTTTGAGGAAGTACTAGTTAACACCGACATCTGAGGCGATTAGAAGAGACCAAGGGAAACGCTGGTACAGAACTGGACTGTACTATTGAGCTGTGTTCAAGTATGCAGCTAGCCTCTTTTAACTAGCAGATGCTGGCGGATAAAAACTATCAGCATGGAATGGATAGGCTTGAGGTTCACTCGTTAGGTTAGAAGGGCAAGCTGATGAAAATAGACGTTCATTGGTTGAAACACCGGTGTAGTCACGAGCAATGGCGAAGGAAGTTAATAAGAGTGCAGGGCTAATGGTTCGCTAACTGATGATTCTAGTTATAACTGTACTTTTTAAGTTACGAACGTTTGCATGTTGAATGCAGAACTTCCGGTACCTGTCACACTCTAACGACGAAAAAATGGAACGTTGAAAGCGATAGCGATGTGCGAGTTTGGATGAACGATGGAGCAAACTGTAGTAATGGTAGAGGGGCAGCTAAACTTCTGGGATGGAAATTGCAGAGAAACATCGAGGCTCGAAGACTAACTTTAATTCGAAATTCGCTTTTTGTGTCAATATAAAACATTAGGGTATGACAATTCCACGTGTAGCTGACCACTCTTTTTAGAGGGGCTTACTGTCATGAACGTTCTGTCTGTGTTATAAAACATGTAAATTGAATAAGAGATTCAATTGTGTAAATTTTGCGAATTTGAAAGCTAAGGATCCATTTGAGCGCTGATGGCAAAAAATAACCCTAATAGCTCCACTTTCGATCAACTTAAAGCTTTTCTACCATCGTCGACCGTTCCGCTGCGAAGATGGCTTTCGTAGCGTTGGCCGTGTGGTTTCTTTATTTTAAACACGTAAATAATACAAATAAACGGGAAACAAGGAGAAAACGACCAGCTAAAGACTATATATATACCCAGTATATATATATATATATATATATACATATATATATATATATATATATATATATATATATATATACTGGGTAATAGAAAGGCAAACAAATTCAACGGTGTTTTAGAAGGGCCAACAGTGCCAGAAAAACCATTCTGGATGGTAGGAAGGAGCGATGCCGTCTACCTTGTTCACATGTAAACAGCATGTATATATACAACCTGAATATATTATTATTATTATTATTATTATTAATAGAGAGTAAAATAGATAACAAACACTAATGATATATGGAGTTACTGGTTAAGAGTAGCACAAACCGGTTGATTACCTGTTAATTATGAAAAGCCATTTAAATTGACCGGGAAAGCCTATATGAATATTGCTGCTAATCAAAGGGAAACAAAATAAACATTGGTTGAAGTTGGTGACAGATACTATTTCATATTAAATGACTGGTTTTTGATAATTCGTATCGTGAATGGAGAAGACCAAATGTAGTCAGAAGGATATAAGTCAGCGATTTTTGCTTCTGCCAAAACTCGTAAACAGCAGCAGCAGCATAACATGAAAAGGTCCAGTGAAACTTCTGCAACAGCTTTTCTGTCGTTGTTCGTAATATTTAGGAATGCCATGGTATACATTGACCATTAAATACACATCAATCGCTGGCAAATGCATGTAGATGTACGTGTATACGTTTTTTACGCATACTTATGACTCGCACGTAACAGACCTTCCACACAATTAACTAAGAACTTCATTATCTGATTAAAACTACTATGTTATCTCGTACTACGATTCTGTACGAAATATGGAAAAATGCTGGTAGGACACTTATGGTAATATTGTAGTTCGCAGTCGGGCAAATCATTTACGTGATCGCCCCCTAGGATTTGTGTTATTTGTTAGAAAATCACTAACGAGGCGGTTCCAAAACAGGTTTAGGCGACGCACATCTGTGCAAAAAAAATACAAAGCAAGGAAAACTAAGCAGGCTACTTTAATAGAAATATTGTTACCAACAATACTATGCCCCAATTTTCTAAGCTGGACCACATGATTGACCAACAGAATATATATATATATATATTGAAGAGATGGAGAGCGCACGTGTGCTTCCATTTCATTCTTGTTTACTAACAACACTATTTATTATGAAAATTATTTATACAGGATATCATAATTGTCACCGTGATTCCTGTTGTTTTCACAGTATCGATTATCTAATATGTATTAGAGTTTTTTTTTTGTTTTTAGCCACCGACAGAGTAGCGTTAGTAGCAGAAGCAAACAATATCGAGGCGAAAAAAATGGCAGGTTTGGTAGGTAGTTTGGTAACGTAACTGCGTTAACATGGAGCAGGGAAACAGCAGAAAATGCCAGTTTACTGTTGAAGCCTACGTGCTGCTCAATATTTGTATTTAGTTTTCGGGCTTGAAGGCATGGGAACAGAAAAACGGGGTGAGACAGTAGAAAAAGTGGGGTTACGTGTACGTTTGGAGTACGAGTGAAGATGGCAAAGCAAACGAATAGGTGGCTCGTATTGGCTAAAAGGCATCTGTTCATACATGGAAAATCCTTCTGTCTTTTATGTTCCCTATTTGTGGAAAAGCACGCGGAGAGGATGCATGGTTCAGAAGAAGTGGCAAAGCCAAATGAAACGATATTGCCTTGAAACGTAATAGTAGTAGTAGTAATAATCAAGTAAATATAAAATAAAGACGATAATAATGAACACGACGATAATAATCATTACAGTAATCACTAATGATACTATATGCTGCTCTGTGTGTATTATAAATAGCTGAATTAATACTATTTCTCTTTCTCTGCTTGTCTCTCTCTTTCTCTCCGTGTCTCTCACTTTCTAGGGAGATAGATAGTAAAACATGGCGAAATCGAGCGGGTGTGTGGCGGAGAGAGAGAGAGAGAGAGAGGATACGAGGCGCAAGTGTGGTGAACGTCTAAGGTACAGCAATGAACATGTATGCTAATAGTGGTAATAAAGATAATGAAAATGAGTGTGAAGAAATGAAGCTATGCTGATGATGATTGCATATGAAAACAACAACAAGACAAAAATGGCAAAATGACGTCGTAAACAAATGAATAAGTTCTAAGAGTACAAATAAAATTATATGTAATTATTTCTAAAAATACAAATCGATATCTTCATTTACATGGATATAAACGTGGGTATAGGGTGGTTTGACCTAGCATACACCTCGGAAGCTATCAAAAAGTGGGCACGCACAAAAGTTTATTGACTATGTACCCCCACATGTTGTAAGCGTCCAAGCATCTGATGTATTGGCTGAAGTCATTGCTAGTTGTTTATCCTATTCTATCCTTCTCTATCCTATTTTTTCGTTTAATAATACTAAAATCAATGCACACAGTTGGAAAATTTCATGATATGATACTGGCATCGTTGAGTGATGGAATCTAAAAGTGGTTATGTGGGGTGCTAAAAAAACACGATTACAATGTCTCTTATTTACTCCTATTTGAACTGTCAAACTGCCAGAACCATTTAGGCGTTGCGTATACGACGACCGTAAGCTAAGACTTAAAGCAGCTTATAAAGGTCAAAAACGCAATTTTTAATTTGAAGATTTGATTTTTCAAATCCGTTCACCCTGAGTTATATTTGAAGGAGGATAATTGTTAGATAAGTATACATCTTTGTTTTACAGATACTCAGCGTAACTCGAATAAGTTATTGGGGCTGCCTCGTAACTTCCGGACTTGGAAGGGTTATGAATTAGAGCAAATACGGAAAATGCTGCCGTTACCACTCCCGTAGGACTCATTGTAGCCCAAAATAAAGATAAAACTTTGTGATCCGTATACGAACGACGATAATAGTCTAGTATAACATTCAAAAAGCTTTTCGTTAATGGCCAATGAGAAAAAGAAGCAATATACACAAACTGATAGTATCTACGTACCAACCCAAGATATTCTTGCAAAATACAGAACATTTAACTAAAAATGCATTTATTCACAAATATGATGTTTATTGTCGGTGTTCTCTACGAAAAAACTGAAAAATAATGAAGCAATCAGAATGTGAGTCATTAGCATTATTCCTGAGTTGAATCGGAGTAGAAAATACCATTAAATATTGGTTACACTTCTAACGACTCTAAGTATCAGAAGTTAAAATCATGATAAGTTATATTTCATTCATGATATCCCGACAACAACTCTAAACAACAAATCAGATTTTTCAAATTGATTTAATTGTGAGTTTGCTGTGTGGCTGCTTATGGTTTGCTTTGACTTTGATTTTTCTAAAATTCGTTTGCGGGAAAAAGGAGCATAAGTGGCAAACTGTTCTGAAATTGCCTTTGGGTGCATTTCTCCGAAATCTAACTTATGTATCATTTGCCTAGTGTTCCTATTGCAAAATATATTGATTAATTTACCACCTTAATTTCCATGGAAACAAATTTTCAACAAGGTACATTGTTAGAGTTATTTAAGTTAACTTCTCTGTATTCTTAGTCGTTTCAATAAAAAAAAAAACTGTAACTTTATAGAAATTTAAATTTGAAGGAAGCATTTGTTTAAAAGTCAAGTTTCACATAAATCAGCCCCCAACAACAACGTGGTAAAAAAGTTAATTTTGTAAAAACGTAAGTTCTGCTAAATGCGAAATCGGTCCCATAAGGCCCTATATAATTTCTCTAACAACATTCTGTACTACAGACAAAGGAAACAAAGTCATCCAAAATCTAAGTCGGTATGCGTCGATGATATAGGCGTACATCCTTTGGAAACTTGTATTGAAACATTTACCTCGTAAAATTTGTGCGCGGTAGACTAAAATGTACACAACAGGACACATTGACTTTACTTGATAATTATCATTATTTTGGAAAAAAACTACTCGCCAATGGAAGAATTGTCTGAGCCCAATAAGCCCGTTTCTATCTGCTTTATTATGTACACGTATTGAAAGAAGGATCCGACACGAACAGATATAGCCAGTTGTCATATTTAAGGTCAGAGTTCAGCCAACGGGCAAATCCAGATACGAATGTAGCCTCATCGAGAGTTGATTTACTTGTCACAGTACAGCAATGTTTCAAAGCACATGATTTCCCAGAATGTTTCTGCCTTAAGATGAGTGTATTATACTTAATATTATTAAGTAATCACCACTGTTGTGCCGTGCGCCGGAAATATCAAAGTATAAAGCAACGAAAAGTTGGTTTAATAGTAGATTTAAACCGTATTCTACATGTATATATGTACACGTTTTTTTACCATTTGTTTTGGACCTGAAGGCTATTCTAAAGTGTTGTCACAAATATGCTTATGAAACCAACTTGGTGATCTAAACGCCTAATATTTTAGTTGCAGAAGCCAGTGCTCGGTCATGTGAACTTCTCCGTAAACATGTACAACACAACATTTATGACTAAATAGAAATTTCGAGAGAAATGTTGAACACGGAGTACCTGATCACCGCATTTCATCGAGAATACCTACTCATCTGTAATTCTGTATTCTACCCCTTATCTTCTATTACTCAACATCTAGCGCATTATCTTCCTTAGTACGGCTGGCCAACCACTTTTAGCCATGTGTGTCATCACCGATTACAACAAATTTCGCCGGATCAGCATCCTTTTTGAGCGCACGGATTATCTTCTGCTGTTATTTTAATCAACCAGTCAATCAACTTTGGCTTCACTCCCATCCTAGGTTTTCCTTCCCGTGCAAGACAGCCCGCCGTTTATTTTCTTAGTTCCCGTGTTATGCGTTTCAGTGGAAGAGGCGTCCTTGCCCATATCGACTCTGTCTCATGTTCGGACGGGCAGTTACTAATGCTACTATCTATTCTATTGCGCTGTTCGTATTACACTGCACAGCGCTTTCCTGTCCGTGTCCGTCTGTGCTTAGTCCGTCGTCTGCTTGCGGCAGACGAGCGAGTGAGGGGGTCTGAGGCGATGCTAAGTTCCGGTTTCGATTTTGCCATCTGTAGTTTGTTGTGCTTTGCTTTTGGCGCGAAGGCGCGCTACGACGAAATCCTTTCGCATATAAGTCGGTACAACAACCGAACAACTCCATGGAAATGTTTTGCCATAAAGTTCTCGATCTCCATGAACTTATACTAGTTATCTAGACGCGTAAGGGTTCAGCAAAGAGAAAATTTAAGCTTACACTGATTCGTGTGTTTTGTGAGTGGATATTCTCTAGTGAGTGCATCCTCTTGCTCTACCAAGAGTAGCGGCACGGTGACAAGATGAAACAAAGTAGGTTCATTGAGGTTTCTTCTAGCTAACGCAGGTGCTAAATGTAAAACTATAGCTATTTACATGAGTGTTCAAACGTTAGATTTTCGAAATTCGGACTTTGTTGCAGTGTTTATTTATTTGTTAATTAGTGCACATAGAATGACGTTGACAAGGGACTACTATTTCTATTGTAGTAGATAATGTACACAACATTTGCACGCTATAAGAAAGGATCGAAATTATGAATGGAACAATACGAAATGCATTTTTCTTATCAAACTATCTATTACCTGTCAGCATAATTAACGTATCGATCCCATATAAAAGCTATATTCATGAAGTAAAATCTTTTTTGAAGCACAAAGTACACACTTCGTTTATCTGTGGCTCGCAAATTTGGGTTATGCTTTAAACTCTAAATGTATATATTGAATTAAATTTTCTTCGAAGAATTCGATAAGAAACAGCAGAGAGTCAATTCAAGTAGAGATACGTTTGTGCAATCATTGCTGATATGAAGCATATTCGAACTGTTAAAAGATAGGCTGAGCTCCTCCCATCGTATTATCAGTCAGTGCATATATTATATTATATAGTACTGTGAATGATCGGTTAGTGCGTCTTAGATCTAGACATATCAGTACATGGCGTTTAATAATGGCCTCACTCTAAGGTTTAGGTTTGATAATTTGTTGCGAAAAGATAAGCTAGTTAGCAATATATACAAAAAAAAAAAAAGGATCTAACGCTTTGAAGTTTATGAAAATGACAACGACTCTGCAGTTATCTATTGTAATCAAATTCCCTATAAGTAGATTACGGTAGATATTTACTGCTACTTGGAAATCTGGTAATCTTTTCAGTTTATTTGAAAAATTTAGAATATTGCCAAGTCAGAGATGACGATAACATACGTAGCATTAACCTCCAGAGTTGTTTATGATATGATTATTTTTGTCGCAAATCGGATCTAGCCAAAAATACTTATCCGCAGCTGATTTTTAATAGTTGAAAATTAAACTCTAGACTAGCGTCGTTCAACTAAGTGAGCTATTCGATTTTGTAGCGAGCAGCTAAAATCAGTATCACGATCAATTTTATTGTATACATTCGCCTATGACTGCATATATCATCTCGCTTGAAAGACAATTCCGGACATTACAATAAAATAGTTTAACAAATATTGACAAATAAACAGTTTGATTACTCTATCGGATGCTGTTAACCAGTTACGATACGCGTTTCTGACTTTGAATTTGGTATAATAATTGCACCAATTGTGAGAACGATCGCTGGTTTTTACAAGTTAATTTTCATGTGTTTATTATGTAATTACTACACTGAGAGCGCGTGATTGGCTTTGAAGCAAAATAGCGAGCCAGGATGAGTATTTTGCATCTATTAATATTTTTTTTTAAATTTTTACGATCTTTAAATTAAGCAAAAGATATATATTATACTTAGAAGATATTTGAGTTGGATTTTAACTTACGGTGATAGAAACGTATTGATACAGGGATCACATGCTAGAAAAAGAAGGCGATTAAAATTATGAACGAAAACGTTACTTGTTACAGCTCGTTTGTCATTCGGGACAAAGCGGAAAGATAGTCCGAGCTCCTTCAGCAACAATAAAGAGACTAACTCGAAAAATGATATCATAGTTATCGACCTATCTGAAAATAGTCCCACAAAGGTAATTAAGATATATTTACTTTATTCAATAAATAGATAAATGGATAAGTGCAGCACACCAGGAATTAAGTCACTATGACTATCTAGTGCACATAAAGATGTCTGCCAAATAGTTTTTTTTTTTTAATTTTTATGCCGCTGCACATTCAGTAGATTTTAAAAACATATACGCTATTTTAAGAGTTTATGCACACCTTACAAGTTTGATTATCCTAAATTCTATGAACTATGAATGATTGCTTTCACTGCAGTCAGCTTCACCACCTACGAAGAAAGTACGACGAACACATGAAACCGAAACTGCTTCTTTAGCTGATAACGTTCCTAAAAGTCCTGTAAGAACATCGGCGAGGAGAAATACGACTACTACATCCGCTGATGTTGACAAGATCGAAAGTCCCGTTAAGCTGGCGCCTATGCAGCAAAGCCCAGCCAAAACGCCCGTAAAACAAAGTCTTGTAAAGACGCCTACAAGACAAAACCCAGACAAAATTTCTTCAAGTCACACAAAAGAACCTCAGGCAAGTGTCTTCTTTCAGCTAAATCACATCGATCAGAAGTATTCACTTTTAGCACAGCTTTCAATATGGAAATGAAGCTTTTGATTAATTGTCTAATTGAATTTTACTGGTACAAATGTTCATCAAATGCCATTTAATCAGCCTAGCACTGTTATTATCCTTCTAGCAAAATGTTTCGCTTTTTTTTTTTACTATCACATTATTTACCTTAGCTTATGGCAGTTTTATCAGATCTCAATTTGATTGAATTTGATTTTTTCTGATTATCATTGTACCTACCCTTGGCGTGCTGAAGCTAGTTTCATTATGTTCCCTGCAACGCTGAATAGTCGACTATATGGTCCGGAAAAATAACCACTCTAAAGTTTCGGATTTGTTTAAATTTTTTAGACCGAATGCTTGTTTATGTTAAAGAATTTATACTCTAATAATCTAAAACTGCATCAACTATATTGTAATCTCGTATTTTAGTCTGAATTTTATTACATCATTAAAGTGCGTAACCTTCAATAATATACTGCATTTTAAAATGCCCATTATAACAGAACTGAAACCTTTCAATCTGCAGGTCACACCACTTACAAAGAAACATAAGACAAGCTCATCTCAAAAGGATGGCAACATACAACTATCAAGTGATAAAGTTTTCAGAAGTCCTGCACAGACGTCAACGAGAAAGTGTTCTAGCAACACATCAACCATCTCTGCTTCTAACAAAAGTTTTACAAAAAATACGTCATCTGAGCAGAGTCCAGTTAAGGTACCGTATCAGCGAACTCCAACAAAAACGTTTTCTGAGCAGACGCCTTCAAAAACTCAACCTCAAAGCAGTCCTACACCAACTCCGCATTCGACTCCATTAAGCCAAACTTCTAGTGCTACTCCGTCAAGTCAAATACGGAACTCACCTGCAAATCGAACTCCCGTAAGGCACAGCGCTTTATTTGTTATAGCATCTATACAAGGCTAAATGATGCTTGTAAAGGAACTTTCTTCCAACATTGGAGTTTTATTATGCATTCATAGTTCAGAAATAAATTGATTCTCTAAAACCTAAAATTAGTAGTTTTCAAATAAAATTAAAAAATTAATAGCAATTACCTTATCAAGGCGCAGAATAAGCAAGTTTCAAATTGACGGTATTTTATTATACAATATAATGAGATTCTCAGAAAAGTGTTGAATGATACTAAAAAAAACAGAAGCGCAACAGGTTAAGAACATTTACGAATAAATTTATACTGCATCGCGATTTGTTAACGGTCATAGCTTTGTGGTCTAAGCTCTTAGACATCTATTAAAATCATCATTATATTTTTCTATCTATTTCGACATTCTAGAGACGAAGTAAAACGGAAATTGCCTACGAGGAGCTCAAGAAACGAAAGGACAGGGAATTTCGTCTTAAAGAAAAGGAAGAGAAGATTAAACAACGGGAGTTTGAAAAAGAGAAACGAGAGGTTAATAAAATTAGAGAGCAAATGTCTACTTTTTAGTCAGCAATTTTCGTCAAAATCTGGACACGCAGATCGAAGCCATTATTTTTTTTTATCTAGATCAGTAGATTTTTGTAACCGCAGAATTCCTCTAGGGGAATTGGGTTAAAGTCATAAATATGATTGAATCCAATGTATACAATTTATGTTAACCACTTTGGTATAGTTTTCTTTTGCAGCGGCTATTAGCATGCACACAATTTCTACGGAAAGTATCTTTCGTTCCTTGTAGTGAAATCTATCAGCATACTTCTCCCTTCTCCCATGCGCTACGCGCTTTGATGAGGCTCAGCATATTAAAGAACTTGTTAAGAAATAGCTGAGTACACACTTACATAGTAGCATCTGCTTCTAGGAAGAACGGCTTCGTCGTGAGCAGGAAAAAAAAGAGTTGAAGGAACGTAAAGAACAAGAGCGTCTAGAAAAAGAAAAAAAACGTGAAGCTGAAAAACTCGATAGAGAGCGCAAGAAGGAGGAAGAACGTCTTGAAAAGGAAAGGGAACGCGAAGAAAAAGAGAAGCTTCGTAGAGAAAAAGAACGCAAAAGGGAGGAGGAACGCCTTGAAAAGGGAAGGGAGCGTATCGATAATTACGTAATAAGCGTCGCCGATGCAAAATGTCCCGTAGTACGGATTTCAACCGAATTACTAAGAGTAGGTCATCCAACGATCGCCCCTACATATGTAGAAAAATATCCTTACTGTACTGTATTTCCTGAGCCTAATGAGCGTAGGCCACAACAGCCATCCGATGAGAAGGTCTTCATTGCCGAAGTCAATGAAATAGATATAGTTCCAAGACATATGCGTATGTTTATCACAATTATTGATAGAATAGGTGAGCGCGATAGGTTGCAAAAAAAACTTCAAAGCACCTACGGCCGAAATAAGAACCAAACAATTCCTCTTAACCAGTTACGCAAAGGTCTACCTTGCGCTGTTCCATTCGAAGGCACTCAGGATTTTCACCGTGCCGTTATTCTGCGACCGGTAGTCAGTCGTCTCGTGCAGGTCTTATACGTAGATTTCGGCACTGTCGCAGACGTGGTTAGCGAGTCGCTTATTTTTCTGGATGAGGATTTCTACAAGGTTCCAGTTCTAGCCGAGCCTGCTGTACTTAGTTTCGCAGTGCCTTGGAAAGATAGACGTGGGGTAGCAGACAAGATACTTAAACAATCTTCAGTCAAAATGATTGTGTTGGGTTGGAGCGAAGAACAGAATTCCATAATTGTTCAAGTCAGTGACCTGGCTTCGTACCCGATGAAATTACGCAGTGAACTGCGTGCGGCTTGAAGTGACGGGACAATTAAACAACTTCAGAGCAGAGTAAGGTAAACCGGTATTCTAGTAATGACAATGTAGTAGAGTAATGGCTGTCGGAGCAAGATACTTCCTATATTTAATAATAAAAATGTCCTTCATCTCAGTGTATGCTTCTGTGGGTCACGTTGAATGTTAGGGTAAGTGACAAGCGGAGAAGGCTAAAACCGTAAAAAAACGAACTACGCTTAAGAAAAACTAGATTTGGTATCCATGGTGTTCCTTCGTGTGTTTTGGTTTCTCATAGAGGCCCTTATTATGGAAGGTGATGGTCGTCTTAAAGGGCGTTGCATGCTCATGTCTCGCTTCCTTCTTTTCCAGGGACTACCACCTAATATCATAGCCTGAACCATACACTAATTAATTTTCAGAAGGATGTAACTACATGTTTATAGTTCTTCTCCGCATATCGGCAGTCAAGTTTTCTGGCCTAGCATTCATGTAACATCAAGTAATTCATAACAACCACTCACGTAATTAATATTTTTCGCACAATCATTGAACTAGAGCTTTTAGAAAACCTCATACTGTAAAAATAAGTTTTTGCTGGCAACTATCAAAAAAGCCATACGCACCGTACAATTCGTTGAGAGTGAATAAAACAAAGCAAGATCCTATTATGTAGCCCAGTGCGAGCTGAGGACACCACAATCACGTATGACGAAAATGTAAGCAAATAAATATAAGCAGGATTTCGGAATTCTCACGCAATGGCAGTTATAAGGCCAAGGCGAGATATAGCGAATACTATTCTCTGGTAAGTGTTTAATGCATAGTGTGCAGCAGTATGCAGAATCAGGTGTGCAAACTATATTACTGTACAAATGACATAATCACTATCGAGTCTGTTATGGAATACACAAGCGATAGAAAAAAAAACTGCATGTGATTTACTCCGATCGTGCGGGCGGAAACTTCAGGGAAACCACTATTGTCGAAATCAAGAAAAACTCTATTATGCATCAAGTTCATCACGAAAACGAACGCTATTATGTTAAGTTTGCTTTTCTGTGAGCTTAGCTTTTAAGTTATTTTATATCTATGGAAGCTTTTTTCTGAAATCCGAAATATTGCCATCATATACGGCGCACACTATATGTAGTTGCGCTGAGAGAATGTTCACTGGCATGTGTTTCAGTGTATGTGACATTCGTAATTTAGATATTTTTGGATATCGCAGTAGTCCCGTGAGCGCGCGCCCGCTAACATCCAGATGTCGCCCAAGACGAATCATTTACAGCATTATCTGAGTGGAACCCCAATCGCCAAAAAAAAGCTACACAAAGGAAAGGGCTATAGATTTTTCTCTCTATACTAGGGTAGCCTAGGGATCTTCCTTTAGAAAGGCAAATATCTCTGCTCAGTCACAGACGACAACGACGAAATAACAAAACGTAGACTTGAAAAATAGGGATTTACTAAGAAATGTGGCTGGTGAGTTAAGTTCCAGATAGATAAGAAACTATGGAGGAGTAAGCAATAACACAGAACACGAATGCCAGTTAAATTTTCTTTTATCTACTTATAGAACGAATACATGTGCACATAGTTATAATGAAATTGTACAAATTAAGAATAAAGCGTTTGCTAATCAAGTAAAGTACCATTATGGTTATTCTTGAGTTCTGAAGGTTCGGGAAATCTGGCAAGGAAGATGTAGTCTATCAGGCGGCGAAACTAAAAACAAGGACTTTCACATGCGTTTATCTTCGTGATATCGATCACCAGTTCAAACGGGCATTTCAAGGGTAAAATTCTGCATGTACCACGAATGGCGAATAACTGTTCTCCTTCACCGTACGTTATGGCTTGCAAAAGCGGTAGGTTAACAAAATTGCGCTAATTTACACATAGTATCAAGGGTATGCGCATTTATACAATTTGCGTTACATAGATTACATACAGTTATAGATAGCTATAAAATCCTAGATCTCCAATCTCAGAAACATCTTTGATGTCTTTGGAATATTCTCTATTTTTGAGGACTTATAGACAAGGATCGCTGTTGTTATTTTTTTGGTCAGGAATGCAAAAACTAAGGTGAGGGCTCCAGCATAGATATTCTTAAAAAAAATGTGGTTAAACAATAAGACAGTTTGGAATCTTGGATTATCAAAACACCATGTCCAGAAATTGTAGAAAAATTAACAACATAAAAAGCATTTCCTCATTTTATTACGATACAAACTTTTATTGTACCATTGTGGCTGATGTATGTTTAAGAGCAATTTCGCCTGTGTTTGCCTGTTTATTTATGAAGTTTATAACGAACTATATGGTAGTTCTTTGCATTTTTATTTTTCTGTGTATCTGCACATCTCTGCACGCATCTGTGTATCATATGTATCTGCACAACCGCGTACGCTCAGTCTTTCTCACTGCTTTTGAGAATCACAATATATGTTTAGATGATCGAGTGCAGCCAGCCTCCTCAAGACGTGTTGGACTTCGTTATATTTCCTGCCGTTTAGATAAAGGAAGTTGGTTCATTCTCTAATGCAATAATAGTGTTACAGCGTCCATACTTAAACGTTCGGCCGCAGTGGCTACGACCCTCCAGATCGATAATGTTTGCGCTGTCATGTTCAATTTTCATGATAGCGGGCTGAACCCCAATAACATACGCTGTGCTTTAGACATCATCGAGCGTCCACCTACTATCGAATTTCATTTTCTAAAACTAAAAACATCACGAGAGATCATTACAGAGAATGAGCAATGATATCGCAATGAATAGTTATTGTGTCTGCGTGTAGTGGTTCTAGTGTTCGTTCAGTCTGACCACTTCCCATACACACCTCTCAGCTACGATGTTTATGAAGCTTATGTTAAGCCTTCCTCGGTGGGTTGAATAGTTCTCACTTCTTAGCTATTGCTGCTGCTGCTGCCGCTGCCGGAGGAGCAGCTACGGGCACGTACCCTGGATAATATCCGGGGTAGCCGTAGCGGTAGGCCCATGGGCCGAATGCAAAAGGTCCGCCCCAGAGGTACGGCGAGGTTGCTAACGCGAGAAGAGCTAACGCACCGATTGTATGGTACGAGAACCTATCGTAGAAAGCACCAACACGAAATAGCACGAAGATGTTGAAATATAAGGGCTAAAATCTATTTCGCATAACGAAAACGTCCTTGATCATAACATCTAGAGAGCCTGCGGACGCGAAATCACAGAATTAAATGGCAGATTCACGCATGGTAGCTGCAATTTGATGTAATTGACAAACCCAACAATCTGAACAATCAGTGTTAGCTTCAGCCACCACTTCACTTCCTCATTTCTATAATGCGTATATACTTATTGAAAAACTACGTTCTACGTTATATGGTAAGTGAACATTCAGATGAATGAAACTGTTCGATCATAATAACCATGCTTAATAAACTAACCTCTTCTGACGAGGACGGCTAAGGTCGCCGAAAGATTCATAATTAGAAAAATCGTCATAGGCCCCTGTTCGTTTGTCAGGATGTCCTGGATGCGGAAGCACATCTCGGCGTGCACGTGACGACAGTATGGAAACAGGCTGAGCAGAAGGTTCAACCCTGGTGTTCACCACCGAAGTTAATGCTTCTCTATTGGTGCGGATGGATAGCTGTCCAATTAAAAGAACCATACAATGAAGCAATTACGAGAGAATCGGTTCAACAATGAAGTCAAATCGAAAGATCTCGCTACGAACAAATGTTTGCCGTGATGTATACAGCAGTCTCTTAATTAGCACATGATAGTTATTTTTTACACTGTCCTAAAAAGGAATTATGTCTACCCATAGTTGTCCGGTTAGGGGTTTGGCTGAGAAAAAACAGTTATGATAAGCAAAATAACTGGACAGCCCAAATATTACTTATAGTAAGATGTGCGATTGTTCTTTTGCTGTTCGTACTATTTTTAAAATAATTCAAGGATAGTGGGCCCTTACCTTGTCCATAGCTACGGAAATAATGCGGAGAGATTGCAGTGAAAGCTGGTGTTCAGTTACGAGAAGCTTAAGAATGTTGGCTAAATCCCGGACCGATTTGTCAATCGGCGCTTTGTCAAAGCTTTTCATAGCGGCTGCTATCTTTTCGTCAGCGACATTCGGATTAGAAAATATTTCCTGCAGAAGGTCGAGTTGCTTCAGGTCGGGGGTACGAAGTTCTGCGGCCGGCTCCTCGGCCAATGCTACGTGTGCGGGTTTTGTTCGGTGAGGGATTCCACGTAGGGATTGCAAAAAAGCGTTGCAAACGTTTTTTGTATTTGCAGGATTTATCAAAGAGAGCATCATCTGTCGTGTGTTAGTTAAAGCTTCTATTTATATATGCCATAAAGGACGAGGTGTAAATGCAAGAAATCATCTCATTCGATAAACATTGAATAAACTTTTTTGTGACTTTTTCACTGAATTTATGAGAGAACCTTAACATGAAACATATAAGAACAAATGCGTGCTACATTAAGAATGAAACTGGTAAAACTAATAGTCTTAGCTTTTGGAGATTGGCGATATTCAAGATCTCTGCTAAACCGATGTATTTCAAAGATATATTATAATTATAGTTAATTACTCATATATCATATGCAGTTATACTTAAATAAACGGTCATCCATGTAGCGTGTAACGGTGACGCTAATATTTTCAGGATTTCTAGTAATCTCATTACTCTATCATCCGGGTTTGCCTTTTGGTCTAGATTATGCCTGATAAAGTTTTAAAGGTAGGTATTAATTAGTCGATTATTTAGCCTAATTTAGCTTGTTAATTTGCTCTAGTCACACACTGATTCTCAATTACATGGCAGCAAGTCAGCGCTTAGGCTGTATTCTAAAGCCAGTTAACCATGTAGAATTTTCTGTTCATCAACGATATTACTGTTTCGTTAGTCACTTGCTGCTTAATTGTATTCGCTAACGCGTCCGTGATAGCTTCTTCTAGCGCTTTTCCTTCTTCCATATTTTTATTGTTTCCGCTCATCTCTGGTTAAGTTCCCCGACTTATGCCAGGGTTCATGCTTCTATCCATTTCGTTGTTGATCAGGTCCATGGCTGGCACATCGGCTGCGAATGATTCATTTGCTCCCATAGGTTGTGATAGATCTACAGGTTCTGTGGCTTCTGTAACCGTTGGAGCAGGATCCGTTCGTTGTGATTTCATTGTAGCCACATCAATATCCTCCGGCGTCCGTGTCGTGAACTTTGGTTGAGATGCGGGTACGAGCGGTGGTGCCAAAGGTGAACTTGGACGGGTTCGCGTTGTCAACGTGCTACTTGCGGGGTAGTGCATCACCTGAGTGATCATCGAGTAGGGCACATAGCTATAGGCGTGTTGCCCAGGCATCATGGCCGTGGTCAGGACGAACGGCATCGAAATACTGATCGGAACGCCGGTGACAGGGATATGCCAAATGCTGCTATACTGCGGAGAATGATACTGTTGGTGGGTTTTCACTCCGTTCGGGTAAGGTCGCGCCATGATTCCGGCGGCGGTCAGCTGTAGTTGGTCCTGCACGGCCGCCGGCATGTAGGTTGGGTACGCGTGACCATCTGCGGCGAAGGGATTAAGGGCTCGGAACTCAACTCACTGTGTTCACAAAGTGATACTAATCTCACAGCTTGCGGAATTAATTTCTTCAGTATCGATATTTCGTTTTTTATTTCAAGTGTGTTTGGTCCATCTTAAGATTTGATTGATAGAACAACAACAACGGCAACGTCAACTTCCATTACTAACTAATCATACCAGCGGAACAGTTGCTCTCCAAACACGTAGTAAGAGGACAGCGAAGTCCACTAACTGTGGCTCTAGAAACGGGCCAAGATGAAAGGCATATAATGGTGCTGACAGCCGTGGATATATAATGAGTGCGTTTATGCTGCACGCTTAGACGTAGAAAGATGTAAAGGTCATTATTTGGTGAGTGGGTAATAATGCCATATCTGCAACAAATGCGATGGCGCGGGGTTAAATTGTTCGATATAACTAGCAGGGTGAAAGAGCGCTAATTCCGAGACTTACGGAAGTTACTCGCACTCAAAGCCAAGATCAACTTACCGATGCACTGGAATGCGATAGCCGTTAGGCCGAGCAAAACGAACGAGAACTTCATCGTTTACACTTATACGGGGACCACTCGCTGAACGAGTTTGCGGTCCCGTGGCGGTACGTGACTGATGCAAACGTTCGCTGCCTTTGTTAAAGGGTCTTTGTGGTTTCGAATGACTTGATCTGTCCCTCTGTGATTTGGTATCCTCTGGTAATAACGATACTGTGACCAGTTTCCCTGTGGTTTTATACGAGTAGCCCAGCTATCGTCCACCCTCTCTTACGTTCGAACCCATAGGGACTACTATCATCATGTCAAGTGCGGTGGTCTGCCCATAGTCCTTATTCAGCTTTACATATAATAATATTAATAATAACACTGCTAGCTGCAGTAGCATCAAGGAATAGCACCTCAATCGCAAACATAACAGTCAATAATGCACCATTGGTATTAATGTTAAGATCTTATCTGCTATTCATTTATCAGTGTCATCTGCGAAGATTCAACATGAAGAGAGGATGTTCAGTAGTATTTCATTATTGCTTATAATATGCCCAACACTGTCAATTTACAAGTTCTGCTGGAAGTTTGCCATTATTGATAACGGTCATCCTTATTGTGGGGAGTCGTTCGTGTTTTACCCAATGATATTACATTGGATGAAGAAGCAAATGGCGGCCGGAGCTCATGTAAGTTCTCATTGTAATTCTAATTAAGCAGATTGGCCATAAGTTGGAAAAGAGATATCAAAGAGAAAGAAAAAGTGTTACATGTCGGTAAAAAATGACCTAGTTTCGTTTGTAGCATTGAGAAATAATGAAGTCAACTCTTCCGGCTCGAAAGTTGGTCAAAACGGATTTAACATCTGTTTTTACTATTGCTATGTAAACTTATCTATATAAGTGCCTCACTATTAACTGGGTTTCGAAGATCATAGCGGTGAATGGGTTACGAGAGTCGAAAACACGGCAGAGGTCGAATGTATAATTCAATAAGATGGCTTCAATAAGATTTTGTAGCTTTGCATTTTCCAAAGGGTTATTGAAGAGACAGTATCTTTTTTGTACGTATTTTTAACAATTACTGAATGTCTGCATCTTAGAAAGACGAGCGACGGACGATATCTTACATATATGTTCAATGATAAAGGGAAGCCTCGATAATACTATCAAAAAATATAGCGACTCTTTTCCTCCACACCAATTTACAAACTTTACAATGAACTTCAATATCATATAGAACTGATATCGCCACAACAGATAGAGACCATAAGGCTAGTAGTAGGTTTCATTGTCGTAGATTAGAGATTACCCCTCAGATATCTCATTTTCTCTGCCGTTCATTGCTTGTTTATTCACTTATATTCAGCGCCACATCAGGCTGCCATGATGACGAGTCTGTTGGGTTCGAGACGTTTAATATAAGTTTATAGCTTATTCCTGTTCTTCTGGAGCTGATCTTTATCCTGAGAATATTTAGCTTTTTTTTATTGAATGAGATTTTTAGAATTTTGAGAATGAGAGTCTTTTGAAGAACTAATGATATAAAGCACACATCGATTTCTTGTTTAGGTACGTATTTTAGTTAGCGAATTAGCTGATTCAATAATTTCAGTAAACGTTTTCTTCTGTTGATTTAGCCTACTTTTAGACGGTACCGGCTCATAACTTAAAACACTCAGCCAGTTTTTCTAGTCACGGGTTCGCTCAGCGTCAGTATGACGGTTGTGATATCAAGGGATTCAATAACTTCGCTTGACTAATACATATCGATTTATTAGCGTTATATTAAATTAAGATAAAGTTATGTTAATACAATTTCGATAACAGAATTTTATCGTTATACAATACAAGCTTTCGCAAAGACAATATACCATTCTTTCTAGGACCTTGTTCTTTGAATATGCTTTTCAAACGGGCTTCTTTCGTTTATTTACACGTAGAGCTATGTCCAGGGTCCACACAAATAGCATGGGATACAGAAATATCGATGTTCTGGCTTTTCCGTTGCTAAACACCTGGATATGAATTTTTTTTCTGTTTTGGAATATAATAAAATGTTATTGAATAAATACCTATTAATTCAAAACATGACTATTTAGCGTGCGTTCGCTTATGCTTTTATTTATTTTTCCATGTAGCACATACTATTAAATTTTCAACAGATGCTGTAAACGAATTCATGTGCCAGTCCAGCCAACAAACGAACTAAAATAAGTATACTTATGGATCAGTACCTATTCCTGTTTCGGTAAAAAACTAGAGGGTTTCGTTCCAATTTTAATCTACAGATGGGACCCCGCAGCGACTTAGGTATGCCATGGCAATCGTATGTTAGGCGAAGAGACAACTTCAACGAAATAACCATTATTGCAGTTGGATATATAGCTCTTACCCTTTTCCCAGTAATAAATTAACAAATGTCTCGTATTAAAAACGAAAAAAGCTACCGACTAAGGTGCGGGTAAATTTGAATGGTGAATACACATAGATATAGCAACGGTCGAACCTTGGACAAGGGTAAAAGAAATTATTTTGGAAAATATCTATTCTAGAGCGTAGGTATTTAAATAATTAGTCGCTTAAGTTAAAATAATTATTAAATGACTTGAGGTTTCAGATCCCGTTTGAAAAGCATCAGGAATGGTAACAAGTTTAATAATTTAATTGCACCGCAGGACTTATAAACTGACTAACATGGAACCGTGTTAGGAAGTTTTTGTGGATACATTTTTCTTCATTTCTTGTGCTTTTTTAACTCAAATGCTTTTTAGCAACCTACTATTGTTGAAATTTGAATTAACTATGAATACTCATAATATAAATTTTGAACCAAGCATGTACTAGTAAAACCTATCCAATATGTCCTCGTTTGCATTTACATAGAAATTTTGAAAAGAAATACCGATAGATTTTTAGATTTTATAGATGGGCTTAACTGGCCTGATCTTTTATAGATTTCTAAGCTGCGAGATTTTAAGATCGCTACTCCACGATTAAATGGCTATATTCTGAGAATGAAATGCCTTTGCATGAAGCGTCTACAAACCGCTAGTCTAAGCACAACTACGTTAATCACACGCCGAAAGCCGCGAAGAGTAAGTGGAAGCTTACGTTGCAAGGTGTCAGGTTCGATATGAAGTACTATTATATATGGCATGCTTCTTTTTATCGGTTATTGGCTATCCGGTTTGCTGCATTAGTGAGATATGAGCCCATGATGCCTGTGCTCCCTATGTGCGGAGAGCCGCGAAAAAGGGACTGTTTGTTGAACTAGCTACGGCCATAGCCACTAGCCACGTCTTGCCGATTTGTTATGCCATTACGCCGTACGAAATCTCTGGCTAAACGTGTTGTATGTTCTGCCGCTGTCAATGACATTGAGATTTTGGTATCCGCTAGCCCTTATGGGTACAGCTACTCTTGGGGATGTGCATCATCGATGATCGAATTCTGGTTCAGGGTAGTGCGGGAGAAAAATTACAATCGAAACTATCACTTGGGCGCGTTCTCGTCTTTACGTTACAGGTTAGTGCGAAAGCGAATGCGGGATTACTCATTATTGCGATTCTACACTATATAGTATATAAAATAATTGTAAGTCATGGCCGTGCATGTTACTAACCAAAATTCGATTCTATTATTGCAAAACGTCGAACATCTAAATTTAAGACTATCCAAATCCCTTGGCGGTTTGCGACGACATGGTCATCACACTAATGGGCTTGGAATTTTCGATGTATTTTGAGTGGCGGTCCGCACATTGACTGGGCAAGTCTGAATAAGCTTCTACTACCCCGTAATATCTTTTTAGTTTAAAGTCATAGAGATAATACGTTAAGGATTCATAAAATGTTTGTACAACGTGCACTTATATAGAATATACTTGCATTGGAATCAGCCAATGGCAAACCGTTTTATCCGACCTCGATTGTCAAGCTTGAACTAAGGACACGTCAAGGTTATAAATCGCCTGAGCATTTGTACAGTTCGTCTCTACATATCTAGGCACCACACCACCTAGTAGGCACCACATAGTTTGAAATAAAAATTAAATGTTGCTAGTTGACTTTATAAAATACACAGGTATCGTTTTTGTTTTATTTTTCTTTGCCTCTGATAATTGATTATACTACAGTTTTGTGCAGCCTCCTTCTGTAATCTAGTGTGAATAATAATGAATTAATGACTTTTATTTTTGGAAATATTACTGCCAATATTATTAGTTGTTCATTTTGTTTTTCATTTCTTTTTATAATCGATATACCCTCTAAATCACCGATATCAAATTCATCAAGAAAATTATTGCCCTTATATAGATTCGTGCTACTCATGAAAGCAGCTATATATACGCCACGTAATCCAAGAATCAAAACTATAGGCTATAACGATATAAAGGAAACCTAAAAAGGAGATATCATTAAACGTGCTTTTATCCCGTATACACGCTTTGATTATTCTATCTAAAGACAAATAAAGAAAAAAGTACTAACTTAGCATTGGATATCCACCACCAATACCATCACAATGTTCCGAATCACCATATATAGACACCCCTTTAATGTTTCATAATTTACTCTTTCCTGACTTCTGATTCACTAGAAAATGCAGCAATTCCGTAGCAACATTTTTGTGATTTGTATATAGACGAAATGAACAATCTTCGAATTGGAAATTAACAAAATAAAAAACCGTGCATACGCTATGGTAATCCGTTTGATCCAAGATCACCTAAACTATTCGTCTTCGTCGATCACCATCACTTCCTCAGGGTTAAGCACAGGTCGAGACTTGTAGTCTTGTTTCATTGTTACTGTTCTCGATAGCGTCGTTAATTGAATACGCTTTTTTACCTTAGGCGTGCCCTCGGTAGTAGGTGTCGTTAGACTGCTGTTTGAAAGAGTGCCATTGCCCTTTGACGAACTGCTGAAGAACTTTTTGATAGACAAACTTTTTGAAGTTGATCCCTTTGGCATGTTCTCTTTGCTTTTCGTGTCATTCGTGAATGAGTCTTTACTGTTAGAATCGTGGCTAAAGCCGTTCTTTGCGATCTGATCTTTATTATTTCGTCCTGGTCCTGCTGTCCTCTCTTCCTCAACAACCTCTTTTGTATCTTTTTTGTGAATGTCTTTCTTATCCTTAGCTGGCTTTTCTTCTGCCTTAATCTTCTTGATAAGCTCCTCCAGGTTATGCATTTTGAGGAGTTCGAGCCTAACCAGCCAACAACTATGCACGTGATCGAAAACAGCGATTGTGCGCAATGTGCGCTTAACTTGCGCTTTACCAAATTTCAAATCCTTCATCTTATTGAGGAATTCCGTTATTACCTGGCTGGTGCTGGAAGTACCGTGCGCAACTTTGATAAGATCAGGAAGAACCTCATCAGGAAGTAGTTTTGCTGAGAAACTGGGCGTTCCTTCTTTGGGGGTATCGTTGTCGAGCTCCTTCAAGCCAAACTTTTCGACCCAATCCTTATTGACAACAAGCCTGTTGTTCTTCGACTTCTTACAGGTCCCTGTTAAAGTAAGCTTTAGGCTCTTCAAACCAATTTTAACGTCACTCACAGATCGCCACTTCTTGTAGAATTCTTCATACAGCTGGCGCACACCACTTTGGAAGCCATGAGCCGTCTCACAGAAAACTTTTAGGGCTGCAAGAGAAACAAAAATGAATAGCCTTTTAATATTGATGCGGTAATGGCAGTTACAGTGAGACCTACGCAGGTTGTATATAACAACTCACAATTAATGCAAGGCACTCTTGAATGAAGCTTATCGAAATAAGAAAGAAATATTTTGATTCTTTGAACGCGCACCTTCATCAGTTAGCATTTTTGGTTCAAGGTGGTCTTTGCTGCTCTTTGGTGTATTGATGATTTCTGGTTCTTGTTCCCAACTCGGTTTGAGGGGGTGGTCCTGAGAGGCAACCAGAAGCACGGCCCTGAAATTCCGTAAGGTGCCCAATGTCTGAGCGCATTAGCGTACGATTTATAGCATCCCGGAATTTGACGAATCTCTATATGCAGGCGTTGACATGGGAATGAGTTTTTTTCAAGGACTAAACCCTTTCAGGCGCGATATGATCGCAATAAGTAAAAATGTCTTAGGAATGGTGAGGACCGATTTTTTTAATATATTACAAATAAGAAGCGTGAAGAAGATAATCACGCTGATAAAATGTAATTACACGATGAAGTATGACTAAGAATGCTTATATTTTGAATAAATCACGGAGGCTCAGGTCGAACCTGATACCGCATAACTATACGGCTCAACACGCTACGCGGCCCCATACAAAGGCAACTAAAACGCAGTTAAATATTCCGCAAGTTACTCGAAAATCCCAATATTAGGCTTCAACTATTCCAAAAGAATATACAAAACAAAAAATCTAATATTTGGTTTTTACTTGAATTGTTGAAGCACTTGATATTCAGCTTCAAGGTTATGTCCTTTCCTTGAAACAGCACAAACAGCAACCATCTTCTTTGCCTGAAAACCTGCCTTTCGCTCCGCTCTAAACTCCTCCTGACGAGCCGCTATTCGTGCTTTCAGAGCTGCCGGGTCAAGCGGCTATCAGAAAGTGTCGAACATTCATGACATCAAAAGGACAGTGCAGAGATTCAGTAAGTCTAATATCGAGCTCCCTGATGACTTATAGGTTTCCACATACAATCAATGACTCCGATAAGTTTGTCTGGAGTTAGTCGCATTAGCATCTTTTAAAGTTCAAACAGAAGTATACGAAGTTTTTTACTCTTTTGTAAAGCCTTACCTGGTCGTCGCTCTCTTCTTCCTCACTCTCACTAAGATACCCGTGAGGAACAAAGAAGTCATCCTCTTCATAATCGTCCTCAACATTTTCTTCTTTGTCCTTTTCGTCGTCGGTGCCAACAATGGACTCAACTTCACCTTCTACATCTTCCCATTCGTCATCTGAGTCAATGGAATAGTCAAAATCCTCAAACTTATTGAACGGGCGTCGTCCAGTAATCTATAGAAAACGAAACATTAAAGAATTGGTAAAAAGTAGAAATTTTTTTTTATTTCTGAGTACCGTTTAGGTATATGCATATATATTATATTGCCACTTGATTTCTCTGATCAGCCTACGTTAATTTATGAGCACCCGGGCTAACATCGTCGTGTGATCCTGCAGCAGTTGGCTGAGCACCTTGCGTTAATTCCCCCGAATTCCCATAAAAGAAAAACTGTTGACCCTTTACGACCTTGCGTGTATCCAGCCATCTTAGACAGTAACAGAACGTACTTTCTTTTACAGAACAGACTTTACTGTTACAAATATTACAAATAAATATAAGGAACCCGATAAGCAATCAATAAAGAATGGCTTTTTTTTTTAGAAATTTTCGGCTGCTTCTTTGTAAGGCCAATGCTATATTATAACAAAAATTATTTATGTCAAAAAGCCAGGAACCCGAAAAAACAACTTTTTCCCGTTTCATATTACGTCTATGGGGCAGCTTCTTTAGTTTAACCTGTTTTTTAACTTGCCCACGAGAACTACAATTTTTAAAACATGTAATCTAAAAGTAGGCTGACCTGTGGACATGTTTTTCTCCAAGTGCCGTAGTAAGCTGGGCGGTAATTTTCTACAAACTGTAGAAATTTTGCCCGTACCCTACCACCAGATGTCGATTCCTGATCATTTATCAGATTTTCAGTTCCCACGACGAAACAATCCGTATCTTCTCTCTCTCGATGAATTTTTCTCTTTTCAGCCTTCAGCGGGCGATAGTTAGTCTTCTTGAGCACGTCGAGGTACAGCATCGTCGACTCGTTCTGAGTATCGGCTTTCTTTATCGAATTCACATTGTTATCTACTGTAGCATCGGCTGCTTTGCCATCTGACTGTTTTTCACCTTGTTCACGAAGCTGGCGCCCTATAATCTCATCGATCTTATTTCGGTCGAACCTAGCTCTGGCAGCAGGTGGTACGATTGCTGCTAGCGCCATGTCTTTCTTTAGCTGGAATGGCTTAAACTTTCCTAGACTTCCATTCGATCCGGAACAAGCGGCGCCGACAGCAAAAGTACTACCATTATAAAAAGCGATCCCACCAATGGTACCATCGTCTGCCCCTATTTTAGTTCCATCACTGGGGTCTTCCGGGCCACCGGAAGAACCAGCGTCTGCGCCGCCTCCACCTGGAAGACTTTTATTCGGTATCGTCTTGACGACGAAGAATGACTTGAAAGCCTGTTTTGCTTTTTGCTTTTTAGCCTCTTCCTCTTTTTGTTCGCGCCGTTTTTCGTCCTCTTTTTTCCGTCGCTCCTCTTCTTTTTCCTTGCGAAGCTTTTCCTTCTCTTC